CGAACATCGGTATCGAAATTTCGCGATTTATTTCGGGATAATTGAAATATGTAAAAAATTATCAACGATATACATATTTCCAAAATGTACGCGGAAAATTGCAGTAAATGTAAATTCTTTGAAAATTCTTTGCACTAAAAAATTTACACACGATTGCATATTTAATATATTTACTTTATATTTTAAATGTTTAATTTATAAGTATATAGAGCTGTAACGTATAAGATTAAATATTTCTATAAACGAGATATATGTGCTAAAGTCAATTATTCAAAGTTAATCTTGACTTCAGTAATAAAACTGCGAGACTATAATTAACAAACTAGACGATATATTCGGATAACGGGTTTCCTCGGAAACGTCTTTCAATTAAAAGGTGCACGGCAAGCGGTCTAAAGCGGTGTTTAATTATAACGACCGCCGTCGCGATATACTTTTGCGGATCCGAGCGATTTAATGACCGCGTTTCTACTTTCGCATGCAATCGAAAATCAATAAATAAATGAGAATGTTGTTTTAAGAACAATCTCCGTTTACAAATATAGGTCATTTCACGTTAATTAATCAAGTTTAATATATTCAAAATATATAATAAAATCATTAATGAATCAACTACTCTTGTTGTCAAATCATTTCTCTGTAATACAAAAAAATAAGGAAAAAAATAAGCTTAGATTCAAATTTCCAATATTCAATGGACAAAAAATTGTGTTTAACATCTATTTAACTCGAATCTATTAATTTAATAGAGGAATTATATACCCACAAATTTATTACACTCATAGATATCTTCCAGAAGGAGGCTTAGAAGGTTTCGAAAATTTATGCGCGGCCGCAATTTGGGCAGAAGTATTTGTAGCGTTAAATTAGGATGCTAAATTAGGTAAAGTAGGAGACTTCTTATCCAGGTATCCTCATTTAACACTGCAATAGGAGATTATTTAATAAATCAGTGCCATTAAGGCACATTACAAATGCTAAAAGTGCAAAATGCGCTCGCCTATAGATATGTGCTAAAACTTATTACTATAATACCCCTCCTACGTATGCATTCAGCATTGCCCTGTTTCGGTACAAATGGGATTTCATCAGGCGAAGGTAATAAGAGCGGAAGTCACGTCAGAAATCTTGAAAATTATTGGCGTTAAAATAGAAAAAAAACATAGCAGAATATTCCTTACGACAGAGAATTTCCGGTGCGGAATTATTTTTTGTTTTAAATTATACTTCAATACATTGCAGTGTATTTTCTTCAAAAATTTAAATATCGCAAAGTATTATTAAATATTATTTAACATTTTATTAATAAATTTCGTCATTTAAAATAATTTAAAAATAATTATTAATTATATCTTGAATGGCTCATCAAAAGATCCATTAAAAACGTAACTCGAAGACGTTTCAGCATTACGATTAGATTAATATTGGCATAGGAAACGCGTACGCATACGCCAGCATTAATCAATCGCATTTAATGCCCGCGCTCGTCGAGATAAGCATACGGCAAGCATATCGTAAAACGTGCGTGTAGAAATAACCTTGAGTTACTTGCAATCACCATTTCAATTCCCGCGATCTTTATGCCCGCCTTGAAAATGAAATTTCGAATGATTTCGAACGAGCAGCGAACGCAACGTTACAGATGAGCGCACGACAGACGTAATAATAAATCACCGCCATCCTCGGAATGTTTCTGATTGTAGATGGCTCGCCGAGAAGCCTCGGCGTGAGAAAGTGCGAGATCCACTTATGATCACGTATGCCACGTCGGAACTCGCGTGAAAATGACAGTGGCGGCGAGCGACGCGACGGAGAGAAAAAGCGGACGAGGGGCGTTACAAGGGGAAGTCGCGCGCAAGAAAGACAAGATCATGTTGGAGGGAGGATTTTGCCCAGAAGCCACAGGATTTTCGCCCAGACGGTAGTATGCACAAGGGATTTATAAACTTTCCGGGACCGTGAAAATTTACTCCGTTACCTGTCCGCGAACTTCTGCCTCGCGGCTTGAGTTGCCGGTTGTGCGCAAAATGAATCGACCGGGCTGAGTGGTTTCATAAATCCCGAGGTGCAGCGGAATAACGTTGCCGGGACGTTGACAAATGTAAATAAGATTGAACTCGCGCCACGCCGGGTTTAACGCGCGAGAATCTAGGCGAGTGAAAAAAAAAAAAAAATGGAAGCCTCGGATGTTGGATGAACGCATATATCATTTCGCGTTTACGCGTACGGCACGTTCAAGATTCTGCATTTACTCGATTGCGAAAACGTGAATTATACATTAAATATTAAGATATAGAAATGTTAAATTTTATGAATATTAAATTTGAAAATATTACGATAATCAAATATATAATTATTCATCAAATATATAAATTAAAAATTGAATAGGTAAAAGAAGATTTGGATTCTACGTAGGTGGAAGCTAAATTTCTCTTTACATGAAAGATCGACGATAGAAGTAAAAAACGTAAAAATAATTCCGAAATTTCAAGAAGATAGATGCTATCGTTGAATAGCTCGATCCGGAAGGAAGAAAAAGAAATTTTATTTTTTTGGGGAGTGTTAGTCTGTGAAATTGGCATGCTTTCACAGAAAATATCTAATCGATGATTATAAATATAGTCGAGCGAGAAAGAAGTTGTCAGTTCTATTTTCAGAGAGCGTATCAACATTGGTATAAATCACTTTGCGTGATTCCTGTTCTTCAACAAAGCTCAAATTTGTTGGCTCTCGCGCAATCGATAATGTTCAAGGGACCCCAAGGACTTGATAATGTAGGTAACGGATAAGGTGAACACTGTGACATAGTATTCCAGCCTTCTGCGTCGGCCTCATTAACGATGCACATGATGCCGCTTGTCGCGTTTGAATATCATTTATCATATCTTCTCAATATCTAGCAGACTTAATATACACCTTCACCGTTATAAAATCGATGCCACCAGTCTACTTTATTAACTATTGCAATAAGTTGCCGGGAACCGAAATCGGAATAAGGACAAAATTGCTGCAGCGACAATATGAAATTTAATAGATACGCCAGATAAAAAGCCAATTTTCATCGCTCGGAAGATGGCCGAGTGCATCGAAAGCAAAAATAGATCGGCGAGAGAAACAATAAGAGACGAAACGGCGAGCGTGAGACAGAGCGACTAAGAAAGAAAAAGAAAAGGCGATAAAGAGAGGGACGTCTCTCCTCGACACTCTGAAGATTCTTTTCGGGGAGGCGGTGTCATCGCCACGCTTTTCTTCCTCCAGGAACTTTTAATTTCCGGTATTTACCGGGGCGGGAGGGCGATTTGGAAAGATAACAAGCGTGAGGAGGGACAAGTTGGACGAGGGCAGGGAGAGACGGCCGACTTATCGTTTACGATGATAGTCGTCGCCTCCGCGTGCACGGGAATCGCAAGTTTGAGTCTTCGTTCGGTTGCGATACTGAAAAGCTCAGCGCCGCCGGCTGCGAGCTCTCGCTGGCTCCAGCTATTGATCGGAGGCCGACCGACCTGGGTCAGAGTGTAGCGGTGTGGACTGCATCGGTGCAAGCTGTCTACGTGTGCAACGCAACGAGTGTGGGTACGTGCACCCTTGCCGACGCGCTGCACACACCGGCGTCGGGCCGCGCCGCTGCACACACCGACAGGTCGCCAGGGTCGTGACCAGGAATTTCACCTCCTCAGGCGAAACGCTGAAATGGCACTTCCCCTCCTTGCCCCCTGGCGACACTTTGGGCGGCGCAATAAAATTTTGGAAATTTTTACGCGACCGACACTTCGTAGAACGGGTTAGAAAATCGCGTTAGAAAATCATTCAGAGATGGAGAAACAATATGGTAATTCGTAAAAACGGTGCTAAATATTTCTTAAATATTATTAATTGCTATTTTTAATTGTACGTTTCAATTTATTATAATCTTTAATGCCGTGACATTTTAATAATAGAGCCATCTCTAGGATTGATCATCAAAATTAAGAACGTAGATTAACTCACTTTGAAATTTAATATTGCTAAAATTTTGTTGAATCAGGATTATTCAAATAGTTTCACCCTCAATCAGTCAATCCCGTATGCTGCACACGGGCAAAGGCTGCATTGGCTGCATCCATCCTCCTTCAATCGCGAACATGAACGAGTGCGCGTTATTTACTTTACTCTCGTAGCCTTGCGAAAACATATACATATCCGCTCTGGTCGGCGAGGTCGCGATAAAATTCACGCCGGAAAAAAAGGATTTCGCCGGACGACGTGCGGAATGGTTCATCGGAATTCCGGTAATACCGGGTCGGTTCGCTAGCGCCGGAATTCGCGGCCGCTACAAAGAGGGATGCGCTCCGAGAGCCAGAATGCAAGTGCATCGGGACGTAAGATTCATTATTGATTCTTTGGCCCCGTTTCATTTCAAACTGCAATTTGTCATTAAATTCCAGACATATATATATATATATATATATATATATATATATGTGTGTGTGTGTGTGTGTGTGTGTGTGTGTGTGTGTCCATGCTAATAATCCGAAGTTGTAATAGAAAGTCATTCTTGTTGGCACTTGGGCACATAAAAAATATGAGAATAAAAATTTAAATGTTAAATGAGAAGAAAAGTATTCATCGCATGCGAGCTTATTATTATTATTATTATTATTATTATTAAAGTAAGATATAACTTAAATTAACATAACGTTAATGTAATATAAGGAATGTTCTTAATACTTTACTTTCTTGATATATCTTAACTATTGAAATGTCATCTCATATTAAGTTTCCATTCATACATATGCAAACACTTAGTTATTGATGTTTCTATGGTATCTAGTTGACGATACGGCATCGATTTGTGCGGCATGCGAAATTGTAATTCGAAAGCGTGACATTAACACGATGTCGTGCAATCGAAAAATATGGCAGATCGACAGATCTTTGAATATTTAGGTTACACGTGTGTATTTTCTATTGACCCGTGAATTTAATACTTGCGTCTAACGAATAAGCGATGAGTGCCTTACCTCGTTGGTGTTCCATCGATGCCTCTGAGTTGGAAAGTGTTCAGCTCGCGGCAAGGTTTCCAGATTTTCGGGAAGCTTTATCGGATCGCCATCTGCGTGATAAATTATCCCAATTAATGGTTGTTCTCACTAGAAAATGTGGGTTCGTAAAAAGCATCAATTTCAGAAGCGATTTGTCCCCTAAATTACGTGTCCCGTAGTTACGTTATTTCACAAAAAAAAAATCTGAATCTATGTCGTCGACGTGTACATGTTGATTGATCGTGACACCTTTATAGATCGACAAGCGAATCATTATTGTGTTATGAGCGTGTTATGAGTTAGAGACTGCTTCGCAACACTCAAGACGCGACATGCAGCAGCTTTAACGTTACGTGGCATGTGTCATTAACTCTGTTTATACACAACCGATCGAAAAGTTCCATCGATCTAAGGCATATATATGCACGCCATAAAATAGCACTTGTAATAGATTGCACCTTCCACGAACATACCGTGAACTACCTACTCCCGTTAAAATGTAAAATAAAAAGCAACGATCTAAAGAATCTTTTTACCAAGAACCTTAACACGCTTTTACTCAATTACATTTTAAAATAAGAAAAAAATATAATACGCCTCCATATGAAGAGGGAAAAGATTTTATAACAATGTTTTTATAATAAGTAAAAATGATAATTACATGTAGCAAGATTATTATTATTATTATTATAAATTATAAAAGTATCACAGATATTTATTACAATTATATGTATATGCATAATATTAATGTACATAATACAAAGTTATTTTAAGAAAGTCGTAAAAAATGTTTCAAATATATTTAAGAAAAAGTTTTTAATAACTCCTCCCCCCTCCCCCTCCTCTCTCTTTCTCTTTCTTATAACATTTATTAAAATATAGACAACATTTCATAAAGATTTAAATTTTCTTTATAAAATAGTCGTAGAAAATTTATTGCGTATTAAATGGAAGAAAATAATTCACCAATCACATACACATTTCGTCGTTCTTGAATTATTGGAATTCGAGACTGGCGGTTCTGTATATTGTGGGACATCAAGTGAGCTATTTGCTTGACAAAATGCTTCCGTTTCACAGCGCTTGCGTTTCCTCTCGATATTATTGATATTACGCATAAGAACATCTGTGCTATTCCGCGTGATATATGCGGTAATATCATGCGTCGTACGTTTCTCAAAGTGCGATCCTTTTTATAAATATGATTACAAATTCTACCATTGTAATCAAACACTTTCTATGCAATTCATTATGTAAAATTGAATTGATACAATCAAAGTAAGGAATAAAGTTGCCGTTGAGATAACAAATTTCATCCATCTGATACAACCTGTGTGTAACAGTTCCGGAAGCAGAAACTTTTATCATAAATACACACCTATGTTACACGCACGGAACATCCGTAAAAAAAAAAATAATAACTACTGCGTGTTGGCAAGGAATAATAACTGAAACGAGGACAAATGTGGCTTGCCGTATTTTTCTGAAACGACAAAAATTGTGTTATATAAACCTAAGTCACGATCGTGATTAGGAAGTTTTTATGATCGCATAATTCACGGTAACCTTGTTATGATTTAATTAGCTACCGGAATAAGTTTAGTACTCAAATGCGTTTCTTCCTTTAAAAATTCGTTAAAATTTCTTCGCACAGTTGGCGGATTTAAAAATCCAGCACGTCATATCATATTATCAAGCAATACGATAAAATTGCTCAATAGCTTACTTTTTATATTCCTTATAGATTTGTATAATTAGAGAAATTATAGAATAAACATAGAATTATGGAGTAAATATAAAATAAGTTTTTTTATCTTTAAATGTACCTAAAGTTCATTAAAAAGTATCAAAGAGTTTCAATATTTATTTATTTAACGATGCTTAGCCTACGTTCGCTTATGGCTTATGAAATATTCATTGATTCGCGAAACTCGCTGAAACTAAGTGCCATTAGTCAAACTTTCAATCATAAGTATACTTAAATGTGTATTCACCGCGATTCACTATAGATTTTATAAAAGCAAAATGATAGTCTATTTGATTAAAAATATAATCTTGCGATGATATATTTCATTAAAAATTATTACATTGCAAGTACACCACAAATATTTCATACATTAATTTTATAATCCTAGCTGATAAAAGAGAGCATAAATATTATACCATAATAGCAGAAATTTTTGATGGCTTTTAATCAAAGACATAAAATTAATAAATGAATTACAAATTAAAATCATTTATAAATTTCAAAATTCTAGATTTCACCACGCAAATCTTTGAATTAAATTTGCTGAAATGAAATAAGATCCTTTGACGACGCGCACCGTTGAGTCTTATTTAATAATTCCCTGGCGAAGGAAGAAGTGAAAAGGGCAAAAAATTTCTCGTTCCTCTGAAAACTTGCAGATTAGTTTAGCTTCGTGTTATAAAATGAGAAACGATGAAGGATAATTTTTAAAACCTCTCGTCTAACATCTCGTTCCTCCCATCCCATTCTCAACCGACAATAATGTTGAATAAATTCCAATTCCCATTATAAAACGGGAAAAATTATTTCACGTGTGATCGCGTGATCTAACGAGCGACGCGTCATGTAAAAATTATCGCGGGATTCTTTACACGGGGTGCATAAACAGCAGATAAACTCACTTGGGGCGAGGGGCGTCGGGTAGGTCGCGTGGTAGACGACACGCTGTGGATTCGAATGATTGTAGCCCGCCATCTCCGTGATGCTGGCGCGTGCTCGCGCTGCTTGGATCTTACCGATCGTCTTGGCCGATCGTCATCGTCCTTCAACGTACGCGAGACGGGAGCGTAGCTGAGCCCTGGCGGGCATCCCCGAACGGACCCTTATCTGCGACGGGTCCGCGTGCTTGGGGGACGATCGCGTATCTGATATGATTGCTGCCCGCTGATGATCACGCTGCTTTGTTCGGGACGAGCTGGGGGGACGGTCCTTTTTTCGTCAGGACAGCTTGCCGGTCGCGGAGTCCAGGACGCAGGGACGGCACTCGGATTGACGTTGTCCTCGGCGTTGCGAAGGTTGCGCTCCCGGATGACGACGACTCCCTCTGGAACGGCAGGACATATCCCCCAAAGGAGCGTACACGCGAGTTGGATTATGTTATTCGAGACCGGATATCGATCGATAGTGTCACAAGCGTGTCACGCTCTGCTGTTTCGCTTCCCCGTCTTTTGAATCTTTCCTCTGTGTAGATCTCGAACGATCGAAGTTCTTCGCAGTTTCGTCGTATCGAAGGACACACGTGGAAGTGCACGCGGAAACACGAACAGGATCGATCTCCCGCTCCTTTTTCGCACTCTTCTTGATTCTCCGAGTCTCTCTCTCTCTCTC